ACTTTGTTCATCTCTTGTTTACGGTTGTATTTTGAGTAATATGTTTTCCAAAGCTGGGCTTAGAGTCGGTCTAGATGCCGTTTTTCCTCTTAAGAAACAAATTAACCTTCTTTCCTTAACGAGAGCGGGATGGATTAAGGATAAGGAAACCGGGGAATGGGTTCGATCTTCTGCAACTACTCCGGGAGCTAGTTCTTCACAAGCTTCACCCGAAGCTGACGAAGATCTCGAGCTTGAGCAACTAATGCGAGACATCGATAAAGCTGAAGATGAACCTGAGCAGGCCGAGGAGCAGCCCGAAGAGCAAGCACAACAATCGACTCAAATGCCTCCATATTTTCAATCTTTTATGGAGACATTTGATTACCGATATGCGACCATGGATTCGCGCTTTAATTCTATAGAGTCCCATTTATCCACAATGGGAGCTCAACAATTAGAAATTCTTCGAGAAATACGTGCAAATAATGAAGTAACCAACGCATGTATTAATGACCTCACTAACGAAATGGCCGCTATGCGAGCTCGTTTTCCTCCTCCTGATTCGGATATATGATTAAATGTTTTACTTTGTTTTCCAAACTTATTGTTTTAACATTTTGAATATTTTGGAATGTTTGAATTTATGGATGGTGTGAACTTATATGTTTGGTGTGATTTATTCATTATTGCATCATTTACATCATTATTAGCAAATATGACCAATTTTACCATATCACATTGTTTATGAATATTGATTATGGAACTAATGGCTAACGGTTCTCTTGATTGTGATCTTAGTAGCTTATGCATACATATACCTAATCAATTGGCTTAATATTTTTCACGTTTATTTGAATCTTTTTGATTTAACAAAAAGGGGGAGAAGTGTGTTTTAAGTGTGTTTTTAAAATGATAAATGGGAGAAGTGTTAAAGTAAGGGGGAGTAATTTCAAAACTTGATTTCAAAATCTTAAAATTACTAAAATGTTTTTTTATATCAAAAAGGGGGAGATTGTTGAAAACTTTTTGATATTTCGATATAACAAATTAAGTTAAATGAATTTTAAGATTTTCCAAAATGATTTTCTAAGTATATTCGATATAATTATTCGAATATCAAAACATTACTTCAAATATTTCAAAAATCATTTTTTAATCCTTACTTAAGTGTAAAATTAAGTTTTAATCTTAAAACAATTTCAAAATAATCTTTCAAAGTATTTCGAACCATTTCAAAGTCAAAAATTCCATATTGCTCAGAAGGAACCGATTCCCCCCCAAGGGGGTACCGATTCCCCCCTGAATGGTTTGGCTCCGAGATTTCTACAATGCTCGGAGGGAACCGATTCCCCCATAGGGGGTACCGATTCCCCCTGTTCAACGGTCGAAATATTTGAATTTTACACTTAGGGAACCGATTCCCCATAGGGGGTACCGATTCCCCCCAAGCTCCAAACTGTTTTATTAATTGTTTTCACACTAAAACGGTTATATATGATCTTCACTAATCATCCCCAACGTTCAGAAGTGATTCAAGGTGTATTTAAACAAGTTCTGAAGCCCTTGATCAACAAGAAATTATAGAGAAACAAGAGAGAAAGCATCAAACACCAAGTTTGTGCAAATCAAGCCAATTTTCCTTTCAATATTCATTTTGCTTTCAAGAACACCATTTGTGCTCATTTGTAATTATCTTTGAGTGTTCTTTTCTTGTTCTAGAATTGTGCAAACATCTTACCTTGTGAGGTTTTCCTTGTAAGTTTGCAAATTTGTAATCTTCTCTTTGGGAAAAGAGTGTTCTCAAGAATTGGGATATATTCTTGAGGGTGTTGTAAGGTTATCTCTTTGGCCTCAAAAAAAAGAACAAATTAGTGAATTTGTTGGAAAATCCTTAGTGTGGATAGCTAAGGTAGTGGATGTAGACTTTGATTGAGAAAGTCGAACCACTCTAAATCGCTGTACAAATCTTTTCAATTTTCTGCAAAAGCTTCCACCGAATTTTTAATTGCCAATTCACCTCCCTCTTGGCTAATTCCGTCGATCGATTAACTCAACAATAACCAAACTATACTATATGCATCCTCTATTTCACATACTTATAACATAATTATTAGCATACGAGTATGCTAACTAAATCATACATACAGAGGTAGGCATCATGGTGCAGTTGAGGGGTTACATCTCGGAGCTCACACACCCTTCTATCCTACCTAGGGTGAAATCCGAAAATTCTACATCGGAATCGCACACCAGGCTAACTTGCTCTTTCGAGCCTTGTGGAATCTATGCCCGGCCAAAACTTGTCATACAATCATTTCCCTGTTACAGAGTGATTCAAGTGTCCATCTTGTTTCCAGAATATCACACAAGGCAAGTCTTAAGATTCCCTAAGTTATATGGTTTCTAAGTAAAATCTCACATTATTAATAGTGTTCTCACTTGATTTCTTATTGGCAATTCTCCCAATTAGAAGCATACCATAAGTCCACGGCCATCCGTGTACCATTTTAGGCCTATTTGGCCAATTCAGGCAGGGGTTTCAAAACCATATTAAGGGGTTTCTGAAACCTCAACATCCATTTGCATTCTGGCTAGGTGGTTTCGAAACCGCCCCAATGGGGTTTTAGAACCTCCACGAATTTTTACATTCTTGGTAATGGTTTCGAAATCAGCCAGAGGGGGTTTGGAAACCTTTGCTGCAAATTGAAATTTCTGCACGTTTAAACACTTCAAAATTCTCACAAAACCATCCTAACATTTCGAATTGGTTATTATAAGTTATTCATGAAAGAATGGATCATAAAAGGGCTTTATACAAGTTAAATAACATCAAATGCTAATCTGAGATTGGGGTATTACGTGTTCTAAATACTACCAATCATATTTGACAATGAACACTCAATCACTCTTAGAATCGTTGGTGTCCGAACACGTGATTTCTAAGAACAACAACGATTCCTTTAACTATTAAGGTAAGTTGGTTTGTGCTAATCAATTACATTTTTAAAACTCCTTTCCCACTAACATTATTATGGAATATAAAATTCCTTTCACAATACTTGTTAGATGATCGTCAACAATAGAATCGTTTAAGGCTTTGCCAATCCATTTCACATCAAATTAGTCAATTAAACATGAAATTTCTAGATTCTTAGTTAAAATAAAGTTTTGTTGAAGTCCCCAAAATTTCGCTAGTAAATTATTAGTTTTTCCGATCTTCAACACAAAACTCAGTCCCAGCTGCTAAGCTAAATCACTAATACTGGACTAATGAGGTTCAAAATCCATGTTCTTGATGGTGGTTTCAACCATTTAAAACCCAGCTTGGTCTCAACATCATGGTTCGACTTTAGTTATTATTTTTACAATATCAACAAGCAATGTGAAGGCATTCATCTCCAAGAGAATGGTAAGATCAAGCCCTCCATATTTGCTTTCTCAAAACATTAGTTAGTCACCAACCGTCGCTTGATGGTGATTGTCCCCTTCTTCACCCATGAATTACTCGTATTTTTGTTCTCCTTGTTCCATAAACACAATCCAAGAGAGCAGAAACAATTCTCTACACAGTTATTATGCTTGGTTGCTACGTCCCAATGCTGCATGCTAAATTCTGCCGAAGACTGAGAATAACTAGTTATGTTTGAATTTTCTTTTCACCCCAATTGGCTTATTTTGTTAAAAAAAAGTATATTGCAGAAATTTTCTATTTCTTGCCTTTCACTTTTATTTTGCTCAAGGAATCCCATTATCTAAGGAACATTTTGCCCCCAGGTGGCAGTAACAAGCTAGCTATTGCAGCAGAAAGGTAAAAACAAAAATGAAGCAATAAAATGTTCGCCCACTGTGGGGCTCGAGAACCCATGAACACAAGGTTAATAAAAGCCTTGCGCTCTACCAAATAAGTTAGACGAGTTTTGCCTGTTAAAAATATATATAACATTTATCTAAGACATTAGGATGAAATTTGCACCTGCAAGACTGCCATGAAAACAAGTATCCTTGCTTATTGCTAAGATTAAACATTTAGGTTGAAGTTTTATGATTATAATAATTGATTAAATATTTATGTGATTATTATTATTTGGTTGATAGAGTTCAAAATCTATTTAAATTTTCTTTACAACATCACACGGTTTTACGAGTATCCTTTCCTAAAGTCCTCGCATGTATATACATTTAACTCGCTTGCAATTTGCTATCTTTAAAGATTATTTTTTATTTTTCCATTTTTAAACTATTCTTTCTCATTCGAATTTCATTTGTGTTTAATTTATTTAAATAACATAGCTATAAAAAGATATAAATCGTTTTAGTAGCTTTAACAATCCAAAACAAAACAATATACATATCCTTAGAAGAGGTGGATTCCATGCTTAACAACAAATCATAAGCGTCGTTTTTTGGCATCTACTTTAGTTTCCAGACATATGCTGCGTGGAAACCTGCTAGAAGAATGGGGATCTAGCTGCCGGCCCATAGCATCATTTGGAGCTCTAATTTGTGTTGCTAGAATTTTTGCTGCAACGGGACCATACTTTTAAAGAAGAAGAAGCAGATAAGTAAAGAAGAAAAAGAAGCAGCAGACACAAGAAGAAGAAGAGACAGACAAGAGATTTTTTTTTTAATTGCCACATAATACTTCCAATAATGGTTAATAGAAATTAACCGCCAAAGGACTAAAATCAAGTGAATCAATAACATAAAGAACCAAATCCAATTAATTTTTGAACCAATACCAAAGTCGATCAAATCAAAAATAAAGGTGACTATTCGTATAATTTACCCATATAAAAAACACACATTAAACACAGTAAATATTAAGTAGGAATACAATGTTCAACCACAGCTCAATAACACCGCCAAATTTACTTCTATTCTCTTAGAGCACAAGTATCTCTATATTCATCCATATTCACCATATTTGATAGCAGAAGCATAAACTTCAAGGCCTTTCATAATAAAGGGGAGTAACCAATGTCATCTAATCAAATAGCAAGAACACAAAGCAAACAAAGTAACAAAACGAAATGAACCAAAAGCTATTCATCTAATGCCATACAAGCGGTCCAGGTTCAAGGAAATTTGAGGTCACATATCGCATACATTGGATGCAGAAATGGCCTTAACTTCCTATCAAGGTCAACATTTATCTACAGCTAGAGCACGAAGGGGCTACATAAGCACCAGAAAATGCAAAGCGAACACTATACTAAGCCTTCTTAGGTGATTTTGCTGGAGACTTTGCAGCCTTCGATGTTGACTTAGGCTCGGTTGATGCCTTCTCGGTTCTCTTCGGTAGAAGAACTGGGTTAATGTTCGGTAAAACTCCACCATGAGCAATAGTCACACCAGCCAAAAGCTTCCCAAGCTCCTCATCGTTCCTCACAGCCAAAAGAACATGCCTTGGGATGATTGTCTTCTTCTTGTTGTCTCTTGCAGCATTGCCGGCCAACTCCAGAACCTTGAAAAACAGACAAACCAATTTTAAAACACATTCTCAAGGTCTTCTAAAATTTAAAAGTCATCCACCACATTAAACCTTGGGGGGGGGGGGGGGGGAACCGGAAAACCAAATTCAATGGCAACCATTTCTCAAAGAATCAAAAGCAAAACTACAATGTAGATATCTAATTAATGTTTTAGCTCTTTTACTATTTTTGAACACATATTGAACAAATGATTGATATAAAAGCAAACCAATCTCACTTTACACGTTATTTGAACCATAAAGTTACCGCATTTTACTACCAATAAAATGTTGAATGAACTTTAAACAAGTCAATCATGCAAAACCGTTCAATTTGGATTGAAACATATATTTTCCTTCATTTTTTCACTAACCAACTAAACTCTATATAGTGAATCGAAAGTCTCAGGTCTCAGGTTGATATCACGCAAGGTCACAGGTTCGAGTTCTTTGCAAGTATAAAATCTCCGCTGGAGACTCAGCCACTGTCTTTACCACCCAAGTCGGTCCAAATTAATCAGGGCTAAGCCCGAGAGGGCAGCCCAAAAAAAATTCAAAACAAAAATAGTGCAGATTTGACTGAAAAAAACATAATTCCATTTAAATTACTGAAATGTCACACTAATGAGGTAAAAAGGACAGCAATAAAATTACCTCAGCAGCGAGGTACTCAAGAACAGCAGCAAGGTAAACCGGAGCACCGCCTCCCACACGCTGAGCATAACGGCCTTTCTTCAAGTAACGGCCGATTCGACCGACCGGAAACTGTAATCCGGCTTTGACTGAGCGAGAAACCGCTTTTGCCTTTGGACCGCCTGCTTTCCTTCCTCCGGCTCCCTTCTTCGCCTTCCCACCTGCTTCCATTACTTCAAGATCCAGAAAGTTAAGAGGAAAAAGTGCGACTTGAAAACGAATTTTGCAGTAATCTTTTCCTCCGGAAAGGGATGCGATTTATAGGGCATTGGGGTAAGAAAAGGGGAAATGATTCAGCTCGGGGACTTTGAGATGTTTTAAGCCGTTTGATTGGTGATTAATCGACAGTGGAGGAATAACCTGTTTGGTGATCCTCGTGGAATGGAACCGTCCAATGCCGTATGAATTATTTACAAAAAGGTAAATTACATGAATAACCACTTAATTATGGGATGGTTTCAATTGGATCACTGATTTATTGATTTTGTCCATAAGTCTAGTGCTGTAAATGAACCAAACTTGAACGGACAAATATGTGTTTGTGTTCGTTTTTTGTTTTTAAGGTGTTCATATTTTCATTAATGTTTATTTATATTTTATATCATGTTCATAATTATTTATTTATTTATATATTAGCGTTCATTCGTTTAACGTTCGTGAACATGCTTATTTAACATTCATAAATATGTTCATTAATTGTTCAGGGACTAATACTCTCTTTTTACCCTTTCTATTTGCAAGCTAAGCAAAAATGATTGTATACATCATTAGTCCTTAAGTTCATTATGTTTCACAGTTTGAACTTTAAAGTTCGACTTATGTTCCATTTAATCTATATTTTCATCAATATTTAAAATATAAAAAATAAAAAGAAAAGAAAAAGAAAAACCGAGTAAATAATAAAAAAATCAAAAAATGAGTTTATTTGTAAACATAAACTAACCAAACACGCATAGCTCGTGTTTATTTGTTTATTAAATGAACATAAAATTTGTTAATAGTAGTTTATTTAGCTTAATAAACAAACATAAATTAATGTTATACGAATGATTTATGAATAGTTCATCAAACGATCTATTCATTTATACCGTATTATTATTATAACATTTTTATTATTTTTATATAATAAATAGATTTTATAAAAAGAATAATGTCACGTGTTCAAATAAATAATTTATCTAAAATTTAAAAAATAAAAAGATAAACTATAAGATTAGTTACTTTTGTTTAAGTTATATATATTTTTATAACATTTTAATTATTTTTATATAATAAATAGATTTTTATAAAAAGAATAATGTCACTAGATTCAAACTTCATCAATGACCCCAAAATATTTGTATTTCTTTCTCATGTTGTCACTCTCACAATTGATGGAACCAAAGGAGGAAATTTTGATTTTAGAATTCAAACATATTGGGTCATAAATGAGCTCGAAAAAATATAATGATTATTTGTTATTGGACTTATATAAATGGACTAAAATATCTATTGGATTTTATTATTATATTTTCGAATCGAGAAAAGATATGAAAATTTTCTTATTATAGTTAATGATTCTTCTCTTTAAAGGTAAATATACTATTTATTTTATTTTTATGTTAATTTCATTAATATTTGAAATTGTTTATTAATGATTTTTTATTTTATTTTTGTAAGGTATTTTTACATTATAAATAAATACATTTGAATTGATTTGTGAATGATTATGTCTTCATTCTTTCCTTTAAAGGTAAGTTCAATTTTATACCATATTACTTTTTCTATAAGATATGAGAGCTTAAATTTTAAATTAAATTTGTCAGGTGTTATGAATATTTATTTATGTGGATGTCTATCACTATATTTATCTCTATCTATATGGTAGGGTTTTTATATATTTTATTATTAGAACTTTAATATCAATTAGAGTTAGAGTTCTATATGATATTTACTCCTTATGCTTATAAATATGGAGTTCAGAGAAAGCATTGTACACAACTCATTTGAGATAATAATACAATTTTCCCCTTTATTCTTATATCTCTTATTCTTCTTGTTCCTATTATTGCTTCATTTCGTTTATTTCATAGCATGTTATCAGCACAAATTTGCTCAAAGATTTTTTTATTATTAAAGATCAAGTTTTGTTTCCATATAATTTAAGGTTGTTTTAATGTTTATGATAGTCTATGGGAGAACAACCATGATGATGGCATTGTTAACAACCTCGAGGTACATTTATCATGATTTATTTGTATGTCATGTTTCTTATAGTAAATTGTTATAAATATTTGTAGTACAAAATTTATTGAAAGCTCCAGAAGAGTAAAATATGTTTCTATTAGAATGAACAATTTTATGAAGAATAATACTTTCAAGTTTTGAGGAAACGTGTATCTTAAAATTGTCTAGCTTCTTTTGTTTGTACTACATATTAGTAAACCGGAAGTTTACAAATTTTGAATGAAAATGAATCACATGCTATAGTAAACAAGAAGTTTACAAGTTCGAAAATTATAATTAGTTGGCATGATTGGTTAGACCATCCCAATCGATAATGATTTGAAGAATATTGAGATTTACATAGTTTAAATGAACCTGAAGTTCTTGTGTTATTTGTTCTCAAAAGGAATTCATAACATCACTAGTTAAAGTTGAGATCGAATGTCTTGCATATTTGATTGACATATGGACCCATTTATTAACAACGTAGAAAACTTTGATATGATTTTAGTATATGTATCTACGAGATAAATTATATATATGTTATCAACTCACAACATGTAGTTTGTGTGATATTATTTACTTGATTAGAAAAGGAAATACTTCAAATTATGCAATTAAGACTATTCGTCTTGCTAAACTTAATGAGTTTATATTCTGGGCTTTCAAAGATTATATTGTATATCAGTTGAAATAACTGTTCAAAGCCTATAGTTTATCAGTAAACAGTTTAACAAAATTTTTATTACCTCCTTTTAATAACAAAACTATGAGAACAAAAGTTCTAGTATCTATATGGTAATTCACATTTAGAATTACTATGCATCAAGCCAATAAGTTATACTCCTCCTTATGATTGACTTATGGTCATAAGCCAATATAAATTTTTTGGTTTTTGTATTATATTAATCCACCACAAAATGCACATAATTGATATTTAAACAAGATTAAGAATATTCTTGACTATGCGTCTCAATTTATTGAATGTTTTGGATTCAATTATTTTTTTATTAGGGGGAGAAAAGAATTGGTTGGATGAAAATATAAATGAATTATCATTATATTTAGATCCTCGACATAGTGATGTGAACCAGAAGTTCATAAGATAATTCATTACAAGTTAACTGCCAGAAATATTTATTGACCTAATCAAGTCTCATATACTAGCTGAAAATGCTCTAATTTTAAATTGAGATCTCAAAAGGATAACATGTTAAAGCAAAAGAATGTAAACCATGACCGAAGCATGATAGTTCGACGATCATATAGCGGAGACGCGTATTCTTGAAGAAACCCAATACATAACTAATAGTATAACTGTTGAGTTAATCGATCGACGGAATCGGCCAAGAGGGGGGTGAATTGGCAATTAAAATTTTGGTGGAAGCTTTTGCAGAAAATTGAAAGTAATTGCACAGCGATTTAGAGTGGTTCGACTTTCTCAAAAAGTCTACGTCCACTACCTTAGCTATCCACACTAAGGATTTTCTAACAAATTCACTAATTTGTTCTTTCTTTTGAGGCCAAAGAGATAACCTTACAACTCCCTCAAGAATATACCCCAATTCTTAAGAACACTCTTTCTCAAAGAGAAGATTACAAATTTGCAAACTTACAAGGAAATCCTCACAAGGTAGATTGTTTGCACAATTATATAACAAAGAAAAGAACACTCAAAAATGAATACAATTGAGTACAAGTAGTGTTCTTGAAAGCAAAATGAATATTGAATGAAAAATAGGCTTGAAATGCTCAAACTTGATGTTTGATGCTTTCTCTTTGATTCTCTCTTGATTCTTGTTGATTGTTGTTTCTTGTTTTTGATCAATGGCTTCTAAGCTTGTTTAAATACACCTTCAAGTAATTCTGAACGTTGGGGATGCTTAGTGGAGTCAATATAGCTGTTTAAGTGTGAAAAAAATTAATAAATTCAGTTGGGAGCGTCAGTGCATCAATGCATGGCTGGTGCATCAATGCATCAAATGCATTCGATGTTTTCATAAAAACCTCAGTGCATCGATGCATGGTATGTGCATCGATGTATGAAATGCATTCGATGTTCAATTTAATTCATGGTGCATCGATGCATGGATTGGTGCATCGGTGCATCACTTTGAAAATTTGATTTTAGGCTTGATTTTGGTTCAAAATACTTTGTGAAAATTGTCTCAAAAATATATGAAGTATAAAACACAATTTTCCACATTTAGTAAGGTTTGAATTTGATCTTGAAAAGACTTGGAGTAATTGATTTGATATTTGAATAATTGTGTCGAATATACTTATAAAATCATTTGTAAAATCTTAAAATTTATTTAAACTTAATTTGTTATATCGAAACACAAAAATGTTTTCAACAATCTCCCCTTTTTTGATATAACAAAACATTTGTGTTATTTTAAGATTTTCTAAAAATTTGAAATCTATTTTGAAAAATTACCCCCTTAACACTTCTCCCTTTTAACACTTAATATTTCTACCCTTTTTGTTAAATCAAAAAGATTTAAAAACTGATTTAAACAAGGTTTTGAAAAACATAGCCAATTGGTTAAATATATATATATAGCTTAAGCTGCTAAGATCACAATCAAAAGAGAGATTAGCTATTAGTTTCATAAACAATATTCATAATTAAATGTGAAATGGCATAATTGGTCAAAATGAACTAATATGATGCAAAAATTAATAATCATTAAGCTCAAAATAATAAAATCAAACCATATATATATAATAAGTTCAAGAACCATAAAACATCCAACTCCTAACAAATTCAAACATTTATCAATCCAAAACAAACAATCCAGAAATATCAAAAATTAATCCAAGTTTGAAAATCCAAGAAAACATAACAAGGAAACAAATTCACTCCATAGGAGGATCGGGAGGAGGAGGATAATGAGCTCGAACTTCAAGAGTGAGAGTGTCCATACGTTCACGCATCTCCCGCTGAAACTCAGTAATTTGAGACTCCATGGAGGCAAACCTCAGATCAAACGACTCCAAGAAGGATTGAAAATATGGCGGCATTTGATCTTC